TGAATTCCTTCATCCCTCACCTCCCTGTGATCTAGGCGGATCGTTCCCCATTTTGAAGGCACGGTTCCTACGTAGGCTTTAGGATCTCCAATCACAACAGCTATCCCTTCACACTGGCTTAAGGTGCGGCGAGTGCGACGGTTGAAACGTGGCTGTATGCCAACGGCTTCCATCCTCGGCTCATCGAGCACCTGCGAAAGAAGAGAGCTACTTTGAAGACCCACTAGTTCGGTGAGCCACGTCCAACGATCGGGATGCGGGCCCTTTCCTGCCAACAGCGCCGTGGCTAGACTTGTGAGGGGTACGTCTTGGCTAAGGTGCCCATTACACGCATAAGCCTTCACAGCGACCCCACTCAGCTTTTCTATCTTAGATATCATATCCAAGGCAAGCTTTGACGAAACCTCCGGGCAACCTGCCACCAGAACAACTGGCACCTTAGAGCCTTCTGGATCTCGCAACACAAAGCCTCCTGAGGTCCAACGAACCTGATACCCTAGGCTCACAAGCTGATGTAAAGCAACAATCGGAGCAGCTTTCTGCTGACTCAACGACGCTGGCTCTGCTAGCAGGACGCCTGTGCTGGCGATCCGAAGATTGTTTGTTTCCCCTGAAGCTAAATGCACTACCACTGGGGCGGCAGCTTCCCATTCTTGCAGACTAATGGCTTGTCGAAGTGAGGTTGTGGCACCACCGTCCAACAAACCCAAAACGGCGTCTCTAGATTCTTCGGCTTTAACAGCACACAGCTTGGATATCCTCAAAGACTTAATGGCATCAATGGCTTCCTTCACCAAATCATTTGAGGGCCCTGTCGCTGCAGCTGGTGCGCCCTCAGACTGCGAGGCCTGAGCTTCCGAACCCTCAGGAACCTCAACTCCACCAACCTTGCGAACTCTCTTCCGGGGACCCCGCTTAGGTTCAGCCTTAGCTGAGGCCTCTACACCCGCCTTATGGTCAGCGCTGCCAGCGGCAGTGGGTGGGCCTCTCCCTAGCACTGGGCACGCATTCCTCCAGTGCTCAGTGGATGAACACTCAAAGCACCTACCACTACCATCCTCAACAACACTAAGATCGTGATTGTATTGGCATGACCGTCCGGCGTTACACCCCTTTGCGGAACCCCAAAACTGACAGACTCGGCGATTGCTTTCAGGCTGGGCATCAGAAGGCTTGCCTTTAAGTCCTTTACCTTTACCTGCATCCTTGCCTCCTGTATTGTTCGCGCCCTTTCCTTTCCTGTGTTCTGGCTTCTCCTCCTTTCCTTCCTCCTCAGTGGCCTTGGCTCTCCTTACCCGCTGTCTCTTCTCTTCCTGAGAGAGCGCCTGAGCGCTCACCGCGAGCAGCTCCATCTCGGCATGAACCTGCCTCCTGAACTTTTCAACCTTCTCATGTGTTGGCACGTGATCTAAAGAGAGCTCAAGCTTCAGCACACTAAGCCTGAAAGCCAACTCCCTATAAGTGCTCGAACTCACGATTCCAGACACGATGCTCTCAACAGCCCTGAGCAGGAGTGAAGGATCGGGGAGGGAAACCTTGAGCTGCTCCGCACGCGATCTCCATCTTGAGTACTTCCTCAATTTCTCCAATGCTTCCGCCGGGTTCTGTGCAGTCCCTGGCTGAGTCAAGAAGTTCAACAGTGTCGCGCGCTCAGCAGTTCCTCCTGGCTGCCCTGCAACCATCACCCTATACAAAACATTCACCGAATTGAGAACCCTAGAAGCTAGGATGTCCTGTCTCAAGTTCTGTGGAAGCGAGGCCAACAGCATCGATGTTACTCGTTGCTCAAGCCGGGCATACTGCGGCTGGGAAAGCTCAGATCCTAAGGTTACTTCAATTTGTGCTCGGTGTAGCGGGGTAGCATTAAGCCACTGTGCATAGAAAGCTTCAGCCCTATCCTTAACCTTGACCCACCAAAGACCCGCTCCAGTACTAATGTCCCCAACTATAGGACCCACTAATGTTATCCAATCGCCCACTGCAATCGGTGCCTCATCAGTTCTCAGCTCCGAGAGCTGTGGAAGATCATGCCAGCGCTGCCATTGAGGCGAGTACCGAAGCTCCTGACGGCGGATTTCAGACGTTGGAGTTGGGGTTAAAGGTGGAGGCAACGGAGGCACCGGAGTACCACCTGGCGTGCGATCTACCCTAAACCCTATCTCTTGTCTCACCCCAAAGTCAGGTCCTAAACCACTAGGAGGCGGGGGTGGTACCGGGCTTGAGGAGGTATTAGGCACAACCGACTGCTCATCATGATGACGCGGGAAGGCTGTCTGATGTGACACCAGATAATTCGAATCCCTATCATAGCCCTGAGTGCTATACAATCCTGGAACCGACTGCTCAACAGGATACTGCGGATAAGGCATCGAAGGTACCTGGGGCAGAAATGAACCACCCGAACCAATGCCAAAACCCTGAGTGCATTGCATTCCTGGAAACGACTGCTCAACAGGATGGGGCGTAGGGATCGGAGCTACGTGGTGGAGTGGAGGACCAACTAACCCACTATAACCCTGAGTGCATTGCATTGCTGGAGCCGCTTGCTCAACATGATGTGACATCGAAGCTGGTCGGTACTGCGGAGGGCCACCTAAGCCTACAAACTCAACTAAACCCTTAGGCAACCCACTAAGGTCTTCAGGAATCTGCGGCGGCGTAAAGAAGCCTGATCCTCCTTGTACCGGCTCCGGCACACTCTGCTGCACTTGGTGAAGCTGCTGTGCGGGGCAAGTCCAACCGTGCCCTTCAACAGGAAGCGCTGGCCCCCGAATCCAGGAAGGCCCTGGGAGACTTGCCGAAGATTGAGGTGCTTGGGGCTGAACAGGAGGAGGAGGTGGTTGATTTAGCACGCTAGGAAGTAAAGTCCAAACTCCCTGTGCATTGAGGGCAAGCTGCCGGTAACCACCATCAACATACACCCATTTTCCAAGACCACCCACACTATTATCATTGTGTTCATTACTCACACTTGTTAACCCTGGGGGATCGCAGAAACTTGTCTGTACAACGGACGGGTTTCCATCCACATTTTCAGCATCTACTCCTACAGCTCTACCAGCACCACCTACCGCCGACTTCATCGACACTGAGGTTCCCGTATTCTGACCAGCAGCGGACTTCATTGACACCGAAGCTCCTGAGTTTCTTTCCGCCACTAGCGCATCTTCAAGGTCCTTGACCCGTTGCAGGAGCGCTGCAACGGTAGCCTGGCTAGGGTCCCTGACGTCAGAAGCTCTGCCTGCAGTAGAAGCTCTTTGCGAGAACATCTCCCCATCCAAACTCCTAACCTTTGTAGACTCCTGCTCGCGAAACGGAGTGTCACCCCCATCCGAACCAATCATGAAGTACTGAGCTCCTTGATGGTCCGGCTGTGTTGGTCCCGTCGGGGATTCCGTCACCTGAAGGGCATAGCTCCTGACTTCCACTTTCGTAGTCGTCTCACCACGCTCCAGGATCGACGCCTTGCCACTGGATCCCGGAGAGCTCGCTCCGAGACCCCGGTGCAAGAGTCTTGACTCACTTCTATCATCAAGTTTCCCAGCATTTTGCCCAGAAGATGCCATGGCTGGCTCAGAGAAGTCATACGGTGGATGCACGTCCACATCATCATCTCTCTCAGTAGTGCTAGGTAAGTCGCGCGGTCGGGACTGGTTCAACTGAAATTCTGCTGTAGCCTTTTCAGACCAAAAAGGATTTGGTAGAGGCTTCGAAGAGGCTGGGGCCTCACCATCAATCCCAGTCTGACTGTTGGCTGCTCCCGCTGCATCTTGGTCCTCGTACGAAGGCTCAAGCTCATCTCCTGATTCAAGTGGGACAGGTGTGTCAGCTGCCGTAGCACCGCCACTAAGCCCACCAGGAGGCACAGAGCTCGACTTTCTCCTTCTAGAAGCAAGAGTGTCCATGGCAACAGGGCACACGAAGGCTTGGGCTCATAACCCTCGAGTACGAGGGCCAGCCAACTGTTTTAGCAGCAGAAGCGAAAGCGAATAAGATCTAACTTGGTACACTTCTCGATTTAAAAAACGTCTTCTGTACGTGCCTGACTGTCTTCCTTGCTGCAGGGGCCATGCACCTGCGGAGTCAAGCGTGTCATCCTTGCAGCAGGGGCAGGGACATACACATCTGCGCAGGGATTTAGGGGTTTAGGATTTAGGCCTTAGGATTTAGGGGTTTAGGATTTAGGTTTTAGGATTTAGGGGTTTAGGATTTAGGCCTTAGGATTTAGGGTTTAGGATTTAGGGTTGAGCGCTACACATGGCTTCCACAATGGTTAGGGCTTGAGTTGGCAAGAAACCCCAAAGACCCCCCAACTGTTGATGAAGCCCTAAACCCCAGACTTTAAACCCTAAACCCTAATCCCTCAACAAAGAAATTTGGGAAGAAACCCAGAGCCTCCGAAACCCTTTAACTAGGGAATATTCCTTGAACCATAATCGGATCCCTAACATGATCTCACTTCATTAAGGGGTTGTGGAGGCTCTGGAACCCCCGAAACACATCCCTTCGGCTGCGGCTTCAACCCTAAACGCACAACCTCAAAGCCTAAACCTTAAACCCTCAGCCTTTGATCCCTAAACCTTCTAAAACAAGACCCCTGAACCTTACACCCCAAGCATCGCTAAGCACCGTTTTTGTTACGAGCTTGGTCCTAGTAGTAGAGTAGGAAACCTATAATCTTTTTTGGGGTAGTATAGTTCCTATATAATCCCTACACAACCAAAAAGGCTATACTTTAGTTCCCCATGATACCCGACAAGTAGGCAACTCTTAAGTCCCTGAAACCCTGAACCATGTACCCTAATTAAACCCTCATCCCTTAAGACTTTGCGCCCTAAAGCCTAATTCCCCAAGATCAAGCCCTAAACATAAAACCGAATATCTTAAACCTAAGTGTTTGTGCATCGAAGTTGTTGAATTAAACCCTCACCCTTAAAGCCTTAAGCCCTAAAGCCTAATGCCCAAAGATCAGTAGGTGTTTGCGCCTCGAATACTGTAAGGTTTCGTCTCCGTGCGCGCCTGGCTTTCCACCCCGCCTCTGAGCACGAAGGCTTTAGGGGTGTTGGGGGTTCAGGGCTCTGTTTAAGGGATCCATAAATGGTACTATTTGGGGCTTTGGGCTGAGGGTTTAGGGGTTTTTGGAGTGGAAAGTTTAGGGTTCGAGGGCTTTGGGGTTTCGGGAATGAGGATTTGATTAAGGCTTTCAGTTTTTACGGCTTCAGGGTATCGAGGTTGAGGGTTGTTGGGGGTTTACCTTGTAGGGCGTTAGGGCTTTTCGTGCATCCCGAGCCACCAGAGGTGGAGCTCTCTTCAACACATCTTCAATTGTCATGTGCTCCGTGGGCTTTCTACGAAGGAACAGGGTCAGGGTTTGCGGCGCAGGGAGATTCGTTCTTCTGCCCTTTCTTGCCCTGACCATGAACCCTGACTCCCTGAAGCCTGAACCCTATCTCCTAAACTCTAAACCCTGGACCCTAAACCTTAAACCCTAAACCCTACAACGCCAGGCGAATGGTCGAAGCCGTTGATTTCAAAGTGGTACCGCCCGGAGGAAGAAGTGGTCTGGGTCCAAGCATTTTCGGCTGAATCCTGGGCCGCCTTAGGAAAAATATCAATGGTATAGCAGCTGCAACCTATAGTCGTCCAGCGATAACTATTGTATCATGCATTTTAGCAATAAAAGTATGTCTTAGCAGTATGACTTTCTCTTCCAATGAGGTAAGGCTTCTGTGTTCAGCTCTGCATCGCACTGCTGCCTGTAATTGCCAACCCCTAAACCCCAAACCGCCAGCCGTAAACCTTTGAACTCTACATCCTTGGCCCTGACGCCCTAAACCCAAACCTTAAACTCGCCCTAGAGCCCGAAACCCCTAACGCCCTCAAAAGCCCTCAAGCCCCACAGCCCTAAGCCTTCTTAGGTCCAGAATCCGGCGCCGCCGCGTGAGGCTGCAGGGTCCTTAGCCTGCTTGGAGGATCATGGGACTTAGTACAGATGCTTCCGCTCCTTTCGCAAGTTGCGTTCTTCCAGTCAGGTTATAAAGACTTCAATTGAGGCTATAATCAATAAGAAGTACTTGTTGCCTCATTTATAACCCTAGTTACTATGCCCCATGAACCTCCAAGTGTTCTATGAAGCTGCAGGAACCAAGGGCTTGAGCAGGTGCCAAGGTCGGAAATGGCCCCAAAAGCATTTTATAATACGGTCTTTGAGCCATAAAAACCTCAAAATATGAGTCCTTAGAGCCTTAGGGTAGGACTTCTATCAGGGATCTAGAAGGGACTACTTTACGCTTTTTACGATGTAGGGGTAGACGGATTAGGGTTTAGCCGTTTCGTGTTTAGGCGTTTCGGGTTCAGGGTTGAGGGATCCGACGAAAAGAAACTACCAGAACATTCCTTGTACCTTCAATTTGGGGTATATGGTCCCAAACAAGGGGCACTTAGGGTCTAATAGAGGGTAGATGGAGGGTCTAGGTACCTTTGAATCTCCAGGAGATGATCTTGGGCTTTTCATCCCATAATCTAGGAATCGTAGGATGCTATCTGCGATTTTTCAGAAACTTTAGGGGGCCAAGCTCGAAAGAGCGGGTTAGCATACTCTCTTGTCGATTCTAGCGTATCTAATCTAAAGTCTAATCTGAAGATTTTTGCTCAGGCTGGAGTAGTTTCGGGTTTCTAGGGTGTTGGGGATCAGGTTTATGGTTTCGGGGTGTATGATTATTACATGGTTTAGAGTTTAGGAGCAGCTTCGTCTTGAGGTTGCGCCAGATCCGCCCCCACAAGAGCTCGTCGAAGATGGCTCCGTCGTCTTGACCTTCGACCATCTTCCGATCCGGCAAGACGAGCGCTGCGTTCTGAGAGGTTTGGGCTTGAGGGTTCACTGGGGTTGCCACGCTTTTGCAAGGCCTTACGCACCCTGCTGTTTTATGTATCCCTGAACCTGAAACCCCAAACCCCCTCAACGTCCAAACCCCAAACCCACAGTGTACTAGTTACTAGTTTTCCTCCACTGTTCTACTCTGCTAACTTCCACAACCAAAGCCAAGGTCTAAGGGCGATTTAGCGCTGCACGAGACTCCGAAACCCCTCATTTAACGCACTATACCTCACATTAAGTATATCAGGGGCCTTAAGAATTCGGGATGAAGGTAGGTGGGGTAATCCCTAAGAGTCCTTATATAAGGGATCCTTGATCTTACCTTCTTTCATCCCACATGATGAACTCCTGAGCTCTGGCACCCTAAACCCTAGGCCCCTGACCCGAGCTGTTGCCACAAGAACTCTTGAAGCGATGGTTACCACCTTTCTTGGGTCATGGGAGTTAGGATTAAGGGGACCCTTGGAGATATAGACCCTCTCAATAAGGTCCCCTGTTAAGAAGAGAGCTAGATGTAGGGTTCGGAAGGGGCGCCCTTTAAGGGGTCTCCCTAATAATACTACCACCTTTCTTGGGTCAGAGGTCTGAAGGCTGTGCGGGTGGGACAGTTCGGGAAGCTCACTCTCTCGAGTAGCGCGCCACAGCAAGACTTCAACCCAGTCGCCGAAATGAGCTCTCCTATTTCAGAAGAATGGGGGATTGTATTACCGAGCCCTGAATTCTTACTTCGCCAATGGGAGAACTTTAAACTTGTTGGCCCTATATATCTAATCTACCTCAGAAAGTTTGAACTTTTTTTGGCTCTGGTTATTGAAGAAGAGAGGAATGGAAGGATTCCGTCTTGTAGGGTCACCTAGCAAAGGACCCTAAACCCTAAACCCTAAACCCTAAACCCTAAACCCTAACTGCAACCCCTGAGTTGAATCTGCAGAAACCTGCGAACCTTTCGAGCGCTGTCCGGAGTCTTCCATTCCCCTGCCTTGCCTCCATGGGTTTTCGGGTTTAGAGGTCAGGGTTATGGAGACTAAACCCTAAACCCAAAACCCCTAAACCCTAAACCCTAAACCCCAAACCCTAAACCCCAAACCCTATACCCTAAATCCATCCTACGGAGGGCTGGCCAAATCAGCCCAAGCTAGTCTTGTTTGAGGTCCCCTTGGCTGCTCGCCTCCGCCGGCCCCCTTCCAACTGCAGTTTCGCTCTGCGCCAGGGCCTCGGGTTTAGGGTTTAAGGTTTAGGGTTTAGGGTTATAGAGCACTTACAATTTACGTGAATACTTGGAGGATCATGGGACTTAGCAAGTAAGGTTATAGGCACCCTAATTGGAGTTATAAGTATAGTTGCCTTAGTTATAACCCTAGTTACTAAGTCCCATGATCCTCCAAGTATGGTTATAATGCACCAACAAGAATCTGTCACTGCGCTGTGCAGGCTGTGCCGACAGTTTGGTGCATGAAGCGACAAGCCTCAGGCAGGCAAGCAGCACTGCAGATTGGCTGCCGGTGGAGTGTCTCCCTCTGCGCCGGCTCCCCGGTCTCCAGCATTGCAACTTGTTCATGGGACGCAGTATCAATGGTTATCAATCAGGCGATTTAATGCTTAAAGTTGATTAGAACATCATAACGCAAATTCAGGTACTAGTAACCTTAAGCCCCCCGATTCGCTTGCGGCACGACTTGACGCTCAGATGGTGACGAGCACAAGATTCTGGTCTCCGATGCCCGCTTGAAGAAGCACACTGAAGGCCGGAGTTTCGGGTTCAGGGCAGCATCTACTAGGACCTAGAGTAGGCCCTTGTTCCCTTTTTTAGGGTTTAGGTTCCCTTATAAGCCCCTTTAAACCAAAAAGGGCACCCTTTTTATGCACAGGGTGCTCTTGGGTCTAGTCTACGGCATCCCAGCATCTAAACCGCCAAAACAACCCTAAACCTCATCCTAGAGCAAGGCCTAAACCATAAACTGCCAAAGCAAACCGGGCAAACCGCATCCATTCGGGGGGCTTCAAAAGGTGGTATGAACTGGATCCTACCCTTGGAGCTCTTTGTCGAGCATATACCGTACACCCGAAACCCTCAGCTCCCTTGGCGTGTTCCTTGCAGATGGTGTGGTCTTCCGTCTCTGGCGCGCGGGGCTCCCGCCGTGCAGCAGTCATGCTGTCAAGGACAGGCGTCTTCTAGGGTTCTTAAAGCTTATTCCAGCTCCAGGTTTTTAAAGGGGTTCTTATTTACATGATATATGTATATATATATATATATAGTGTCTTGAAAGGGTCCTACAGGTTTGCATAGGGGATTCAAGGTCTAGAGCTGGAGGGTTCAGGGGTTCGGCTTCCTCCGGGTTGTAGATAAGCAGCTCCGGTGGCCCTTTTTAGGGTTTAGGGTTAACTTAGGGGTACTTAGAAAAAGTTTTTTTTATTTTTGGTTATTATGATCCCTAAGAGACAGCTAAAATTACATTTGTTGCTAGGGTTCTAAGTTCAGTATAGTTAAGGGTTTAGGATTTAGGGTGCACTTTAGGCTTTGGGGTTTACTTGGAGGATCTCATGGGGCTTCGTAAGTAAGGTTCTAAGTACCCTGACTGTGGTTTGACCAATTGTAAGTATAGTCACCTTATTCCTAACCCTAGTTACTAAGTCGCATGATCTTCCAAGTACAGTTAATGGGTGCATTGGCATCTCTGAGTTAGCTCTTGCCCAGGGATCCCGATCAAACACCTGCACAGGACGATGCCCGGGTCCGTCATTTCAGTGGCCGTTCCCTCAGAGCCAATGTCTGCCAGATGTGGAGATGAAATTACAGACTCTTCGTACGCCATAGAGAGTAGGATTCTGAACAGATTCCTTCAAGGTTTCCTGTTGAGGTGTTGAAGGGACTACAAGGGTTCGTTACTATTGTACTATAGTATGTTACTATAAGGCTTAGGAGACAAACAGAAGAGACAGAAGTGCTTCTCATCCCCTAAACCCCAAACCCTAATCCCTAAACCCTAATCCCTAATCCCTATAAACCCTAATCCCTAATCCCTGAACCCTCAACTTGGACACCCCGAGGCCTGACATCAATGCCGTCGAAGGCCATAGCGATCGCCTGCCCGACCTTCGACCTTCCGCCTCGTGCAACCTTGGCGGCTTGTCTTGCTCAATTTATATGGGTGAAGCGTAAAGCAATCCCTTCTAGATCCCTAACAGCAGTCCTACCCTAAGGCTCTAAGGACTCATTTTTTGAGGTATTTTGGCTCAAAGACCATATTATATAAGGCTTTCCTGTGGATCCAAAAACCTACCGTTCTTAGGGTTAGACCCTCTGATTAAGGGGTCATAACCTGCTATTTTGTAGGGTTTGGGGTCACGGGTTTGAAATGTACTGCATTTCATAATATGTGTATATATATATATATATATATATATATATATACGCGGCCCCCCCCCCCCCCCCCCTCCCCCCCCCAAAGGTCAATGGTCCGGATATAGGGTGGGACCCCCCCTCCCCTGTGGTGTGGGGTGTGGGGTCCCTCTTCCCCCTGTGGGGTGGTTGTGGGGTTTTGGGGTTTAGGGGTTTAGGGTTTAGCTTAAGCTTTTGAGTGTTGGGTTTACGGTTACAAGGTATAACGCTTCGAGTCGACGGACTTGCGGTGTATGTTCTGCTTTAGGCTTAGAGCCTGCAGTTAGGTGGGGTTTAGGGTTGGGTGTAGGGTTGGAAGTACAACTTAAGGTTACTCAAAACAAGGGCACGCGCTGCGTTATAGGGCTTACGGCTTGCTTGCGAAGGGCTTGCGTGTGAGCCCTGGCCGCCAGCACCATCCAGTGACAGCTCCAACGGCTCCGACCCCTGTCCGCACACGCCAGCCCCCCCCCCCCCCCCCACCCTAGCAGACCATACCATTGGGGGGGGGGGGGGGGGCTGGGAACGCCAGACGCCTGACCATATATATATATATATATATACACACTCACATACACGCAGACACACATACGCACACGCACACACACACACACACACACGCGCACACACAACACACACACACACACACACACACACACACACACACACACACACACACACACACACACACACACCACACACACACACACACACACACACACACACACACACACACACACACACACACACACACACACACACACACACACACACACACACACACACACACACACACACACACACACACACACACACACACACACACACACACACACACACACACACACACACACACACACACACACACACACACACACACACACACACACACACACACACACGCGTGCACATCCACATACATGTATGCATGCATGCATACATATACGTGTGTACATGCATAAATATATACATATGTATAACAAGTATCGTGCAATCGTATACACGGCAGTGCTGCTAGGGCTTAAGGCTAACGGCACATACGCTAGGCTTGGAAGCGATGTGGGAAGTAACCCAGCAACAAGGGCAGCTGGTCCTGGCAGCTCGCAGTACGGTCTTGCGCAAGGCAGTCACAACAAAGCCCTACACTGCCCAACATCCTGCCCAACAGTTTCCTCTAACCTAAATCCTAAACCCTAAACCCCTGATACCCTTTACAAGCCCTAAACCCTAAACCTAGCATTGAAAACCCCAAACCGTGAACCCAAACCTGCACGCCTAAACTTTCCCAGGTTTTCTGCGAATCTTCGGACCTTCACAGAGAGGCCTGAGCAGATCCGTCGTCCTGGAGCTGCTATTTCATTAAGAGGTTGCTTTCGGGGTTTTATGGGCTTTATTCACAGTACTGGCTGTTCAAGGTTTTCCAGGTTTTTATGGGTTGTTATAGGTTTGATATTTTGGTTCTCGCTATTAGGGTCGGTATGGTTTTAGGGTTTCTGGTTCTTGTAGGGTCTATATGTGGGTTCAGGCGCTTAGAAATGCCGCCTTGGATTCTTGGTGATTGCATGACATGGGCAGGTGTGCTTGCACCCTCCCTAAACCCTAAAACCGTGTGATTCGGCGTGTGCGGAGGGTGCCGTGGGGTGTGTTTTCTCTTCCTTGGCTCTGCTTGTTCGATTTCATGAAGCCCACAAGCCTGAGCCTCCACACCCCTTCGCCCTAAATCCTGCTAATGTAGGAACCTGATTGAGAGACGCTGGCCCTCTATCCCCACATGATGAGGTTTCTTGCTGTAATACAAAGAATGCGAATAAAAGCCCAGGGTGTCTTAATCAGACCTCTATATCACCCCTTTGGTCCGAAGCCGTCTGCCCCGAAACCTAAACCTCAACTTCTCGTTAAACCCTTAGCGCCAAGACCTACAAATCGCGAGCCCCACACCACCCCTAAACCCTAAACCACGAGATCAACCAACCCTAAACCCCTAAACCCTAAACCCAGGATGTGCCGGGAGCTGAATCCCAAATCCTGCACACCCTGAGGTCTGAACCCCAAGCCCGAAACCCGCAAAGACTAAATGACACTTGCAACAATGATTCTTAACGCCAAAGCCTACGAAAACTTCTAAACCCCTTGAAATCCTAAACTTTCCAGTTCTGGCCCGCTACCCTATACCGTCTAGACCCCTAAACCCCATAAATCCTATACCCTAGGCCCTAAACACGTGTCAGGGGGAGGCTGCCGAAGACCCTCCACTGGCTGCAATGCTACGATTGGAGTGGAAGGCTATCTTGAGGGTTCAGGGACTTGGGGGTTCAAAGGGGAGTTTCCGAGAATAGGGGACCCGAATATGGTAATTACCCTACAAGTAGGATCCTTTTATAGGGACCCCAAGATAAAGTACCCCTAATTTTCGGAAACTTCCATATATACTACCATGATGGAATGATAGGTCCCAGCAGTCCATCCCCATGTTGGTTTTTGGGACCTAGTCCCATAATAGATGTGTATATGGACCCTTATGGATAATGGGGCTATGAGGGTACTGTAGGAAAGTTAGGGTTTATGTTGCGTACTGCCCCCTCTGTAGCAGTTAGGCAGTATATCTATAATATAGTTAGTTTTATATAGACCCCGTAATGCAGACTGTTGCAGGGTGGGGCCAGGGCTTCATAATGTAGCCTAAATGGTCCTAGGTCCTGTTATGGGGGGATAGTTCCCCAAATCATAGTAATGATTCCTAACATAGAGACCCTACGTTCTATCATATAGGTACTTCTCAATAGAAAACCTTAAAGGAACCCTAAACCCTGAACCCTTAATGGGATCCTTACAGAGCCCTACCTTCTACCATATACAGTAGAAGCCAGAAAGTTGGAACATCATTGGCCTCATGCCCTTAAGGTAAAGTATAAGGGATCCTAGCACTAATCCTCCTAAAGTCATGTTCCAACTTTCTGGCTTCTACTATAGGTACTTAGGACCCTTTGGGTAGGTGGGGATGAGGCTTCATGATTTAGGGTTTAGGGTTTGGAACTTAGGGTTAGGGGCTCTAGGGCACCTTTATATTCGGGACCCCAAAAACCACATAAGCATAAGCATTTCCCTGCTTTATTGGGCTTCATTATAAGGGGTTTTTTTATGGGATATCCCTATCCTAATTTGAAACGCTGCGCGTCGTCCGCCTCGGCCCGGCTGTACGCGCATGCGGCGAGTGGCTACTATCTGCAGCAAGCTCGTGTAGGAAAGTAACAGTTGGAATCGCACTTATAGTAAAAGTAATGTTCATAGCAACACGAAGCAGGATGATTGTGAGTAGTATTAGTAGTGGTAGTATCAGTACGAATTTGGGTGTCGTCATTCCGAAACACTGGATACCAAGACTCTCGCAAGCGGCGGGATGCCTTAAGTATGGGCCGTTGAGGCTGTGGATTTCGTGGGCGTCTTGGATTAGGGAAGCATCACAGCCTTTTCAACCACGTTACTCCGCCTATCCCAACGAAAGGGCGTCTAAAACAAGCCGGTGCTGCAGCCTTAAAGGCGAGCCCCAACACATAAAGATGCTACATTGCAGTCCCGTGTCGAGAAAGCTCGCACCTATCAGCGAGCGGAGGAGGGGCGGGAGGGAAGGGGGGAGGGGGGGGGGAGGGGGGGGGGCGGGAGGGAAAGGGGAGGTGGGGGGGGAGGGGGGGAGGGGGTTCCATTTTTTAGGAGGGGGGGGCGGTCTGGAGAGGGGATTAAGAGGTGGGGAATAGAGGAAATCCGAATAGGAACCTCTGACCGCTTCGGCCGAGGCGAATTTTTGCTTGTGCTTTTTGGGGGCCCTATTATAGTGCTTTTATGGATCCCTTGTGACACCAACCCAAAACACCAAACCCTTACAGGAGCCCCTGTCTAGAATTTCGGGTTAAGGACTGCTCTTCCCGGGTTCAATGTCGAATATACTGTTTCCTTTTTGGAGATTCAGGATTCGGGTTTAAGGTTTGGGGTAGAGGACTTTATTTGGCATTTAGGGTTTGGGGCTGTAGAGTTTAGGGTTTGGGCTTTAGGGCTTGAGGCGGTTTGGTCTTTTGGGGGCCTTGACGAGCAAATGGAGATTGGGGGGTTTTGACGTTTACGATTCGGCCGACGTGCATGTTGGAAGCTATGTCGGACTAAAGCAAACCCTAAACTCCTAAACCATGACCCTAAACCCAGGTGCAGGTGGCAAGAAAGGGTCTGTTTGTCAGTCGGGTCCAATCCGCAGTCGGAGTCGGCAGATATTTTTTCCCTTTGCAACCATGACGAACCAAAGGCTTATGCGACTCTAAAAAGTCTTAAGCGCCCCGCCAAACCTATCAAGCCTAGAATCCTGAACCCCTGAAATTGAAACTGTTGACGCCTTTGATCAAACCCCACAGCTCGTGCTGTTCTTTGTCATTGAAAGGTCCACGTGCCTCAGAATTCGTTGCTCGATGAGGTGCAGCGGCACCAGGCGGACATTCGCAAATCATGATGTAGTGGTTTAGGGTTGGGGGAATTAGCAAGTTTGGGAACAGTTTGGGAGTTAGGAGTATCTGCGCTCTGCAGCCAGACCTCCACACACACCTGTTAATGTATACATATGTCATATGTACATATATGTATATACATATATATATATATATATATATATACATGTATATATATACATACATACATACATACATACGGACATACACATGCGCACACACAGGAGGTTACCACCATGCCAGGTCTAGTGCATCTGTTCGAAGGTGCGCTTCCGCCGGGTTCATCCGCCACCCGCAGCGGGACACCAAGCCTTTTGCAAGGGAGATGGTCCTATAATAGACCCTAAACCCTAAACCCCTAAACCCTAAACTAGAAACTCTACCAGGACCCTCATTGTACCCTCCAATAGGGCTATATGGTCCCGAATAAGGGGCATTTGGGGTCTAATAGAAGGTAGATGGAGGGTCTAGGTAAGCCCTAAACCCTAATCCCCATGCGAATCTTAAAAACCTAGAAGCCCTGAACCCTTAGTCCTTAAACCCTAAACCCTATACTATCAGCTCTGAACCCCTAGCCCTAAACCTGCGGCATCTGGCTGGTGCCCCTTTTGCTTCAACTGCAGCCCCGCATCGCCTATCACCTGCAAGAACTGAACCCGACACCGGCTTAAAGGGTTTAAGGGTTCAGGGTTTAAGGGTTTAGGGGTTTAGGGGTTTGGGGTTCCTTGGTCTATCAAAGGTACTATTTAGGGTTTCAGGGTTTAGGGTTTAGGGTTGGTAAGGTGTTCCTTAAAGGGTTCCATAAGGGATTTGCAGGGGTTTAGGGTCTACTTGGAGGTTCATGGGACTTAGTAGCGAGGGTTATAAATAGGGGAACTATACTTCTAATTTATCACAACGGCAAACCTCACTGACTTACCAGATCCTCCAAGTAAGCCCCAGGCCTTACATCAATCCTAAATCTTGAATCCTTCAACCCCGTATAACCTTACAGTAGCCTTTCCAGCAGCCTTTGCGCTAAAGCTGATAGTAACCCCTTTAATCCGTAACCCAGAGATTCCGAAAGCTTTACTTAAGGAATATACCTTAAATTATGTATAATAGGATCCCGAGTATAATTTAAGGTCTACTCCTTAATTGAAGGGTTTTGGAGTCTTTGGGAAATTCTACACCTCCCTGAATCAGACATGGAAGACCTTGCCTTTTTTTCTGCGCCCCGTTGCTCCCAGCATCCGAACGCACCAAAGAAAGGGTCCATCGTTCAGGTTTCAGGGTTTAGCGTTCAGGTTTTGGGGCTTAGGGTTCAGGCTTCCGGGTACATGTTGGGCATGTTGGTGAGAAAGTTGCGACTTAGGAATCATAAGGCCATAAGGCATGCGAACCAAAACTTTCTGGTGGGACGTGCTTGCGTCATTGGCTGACTTGAAGAGGGGATCATGGGGTACCTTATGGTTTTTGTCCATGTGTCTGTTTGGATCAAAGCACTGAGCCATGACTCCATCGATCCAATATCCGAAACTCTAGAGAGTGAGGGTTAAGGGTTACCAGGATAACGTGGGCTGTCCACAGAGCCCTCGTCGCGGACTATTTTTCGATGCATAGGAGTTTGGCAAGCAACAAGCAGCAAAACGAAAGATATGGATTACTAGCTGAACCTGGTCGGTGATTATATGGCTTTGTAGAGGGGTCCCTTCCTGACGTTCTGCAATTCCCATGCACGTTTGGAGTTAAAGCTGGGGCACGGTCGTATGAGCGTGGGGCAGAGTCAAGCAGACGAGGTCGATGATTGGCAAGAGCGCAGCTCTCAGAGCTTGATCAGCGTCTTCTGACTTCTTCTTATGACTATTCCTGTTGAAATTGATTTTACAAGCATTCCTATTGTTACTGTCATTCTTCTTGTGATGCGCATTATAAATTCGTAGCAGCTGCAGTGGTGGTCAGTGGTTTTTCGAACCCCAAAAACCCTAAACCCTAAACCCTAAACCCTAAAACCCTAAACTCAGGGCCTAGGCCGCCCACCTTCGATGGTGGGCGGCGCTTATGCCCTTCGACATCGATGGCGCAGGTCGATCCAGGACGCTCGCCCTCCGTCCCACAGCCAGGGACTGTAGCACCCACGTTAGGCAAGGTACCGGGACACGTTCTCCCCGGGACCAGTACTGGTCCCTATTAAAGTCATTACCCTAAACCCTGGGCGTCGCTGGGCTGGTTTGGCCACCCCCCAAAAAGGGACCCCCGGGGGCTTGGAAGCTCCAGCGAGCAGAATTCCAGGAGCTAGCGGCTTCGGGGGGAACTTGGGCAAAATCTGTCTTTTTTTGCGTTTCCGCTCTTTTCTCCCTGGCCCCCCCCTGGCACATGGACCTAACAGAGTTTAGGTCCTAAACCCTAAAAGGTATAGGTTTGGGTGGTTTGCCGCCTCAGACGGCGTGGGGTGGGTGAGGAATGTGATGGCCCGCCACAGTCAGGCCATGTCTGCGATTCGCAGGCAACAAAACCGCTAATAAATCCTACAATCCCTGTTGCACTACCGCTACGCGATCTTGCAGCAAACCCTAAACCCTAAACCCTAAACCCTAAAACCCTAAACCCTAAACCCTAAACCCTAAACCCTATACCCTAAACCCTAAACCCTAAACCCTAAACCCTAAGTTCCTGAGCCCTTACAGTGCCCTTCTGGACCTGGTGGCCCCTTTAGAGGAACCTTCAAAGGAACCCTTCCAGACTCTTATCATAGGGATCCTTAGGGGTGTAGGGTTTAGGGGGTGTAGGGGGAGGGGGGGGTAGGGGGCCTTAAGGCCCATAATAAGGACTAATAAGGCCTATTTATGGAAATATAGTCCCCTACACCCCTCCCCCCTACACCCCTAAGGATCCCTATGATCTTATGGACCCCGTAGAGGAACCTTTCAACGAACCCCAAAGCACTAAACCCTAAACCCTTAAAGGGATTTTCTCGCGATGGAAAAAGACCCGGAAGGAAAAGCAACAAGAACCCTAAAGTAACCACCCTAAACCCTAAACCCTAAACCCTAAACCCTAAACCCGAAGCTTCGAAGGAGCCCAAAAGCACCTCGTTCCGAGGATGGCCCCCTTCCTGCAGTTTGTCCACGCAGAGCACAGCTCGCAGATTGTCCGGGACACTCCTTTGGCCGTGGCCCCAGACCTTATGGTTTTAGGGTTGGGGTTTAGGGTTCCTTTCAAGGTTCCTGTAAGTTGTAAGGGCGCAGGGTTTAATTTTGGGTTTCGGGGTTTCGGGGTTTTGGGTATAGGGATTAAGGTTTAGGGATGCGGCTCACTTGGACCCTATGAAACCTTCCCTTTCAGGTTTCCCGATCATCATGTCCCCAGTTTCCTCCTTTTTAGGTAGTCTATTTGGGTCCAGGTAGAGTTAACGGCGGCCACAGACTTTTGGGGTCTAGGGTTCTTGCCAGGGCCATTGAAGTTATGGGATGTTTATAGCTTATAGCTTGGCGAAACACACTTACAGCAAACTCTTTCAAGTTGGAGACCAATTCAGTACAAATAGTGCTGGGATTCCCTATGCTTCACCCTTGGGCTTGAGGCTATCGGGTTTCCAACTTTTTGCCTTCTACTGTAATTAGGGCAACAAAAACCCTGCTGAAAACCGGCTAAGTCAGTCGGAGTCAGTCGTCTGATTCTAAAACCCGACTTAAAGGTTCGTGGGTTAATAGCTCGGGCTATGAATGAGGTAACTATGCTCGTAATTCAGAATAACCCCAAGTTAAGGTCCTTAGCTAGGGTTATAAATAAGGTAACTATACTCACGGTTCAGTATGACCCTAGATTAGGTACTTCTAACTATACAGCATAGCCCCTAGATTAGGTACTTATAACTGTACTGACTAAGCCCCATGAACCTGCAAGTACACCCTAAACCCTAAACCCTAAACCCTAAACCCTAAACCCTAAACCCTAAACCCTAAACCCTAAACCCTAAACCCTAAACCCTGTACAAACCCTGTACAAACCCGCGCAGTCCCCGGATCCTTTCAGCGGTACAGGTCAGCCAAGACTGCAAACCAGCCTTGTCCGTTTTCATGGTTCCCCCAAAAGAATAAACAGACCGGCTCTTAAATAGTTCCTACTCAGGGACATGGGTATAGGGCTCTGTCTATTGTTTCTAAAAGGACAAGGGTACTGCAAACAGTCCGAGAATACATCTCGCTTTCTCATTGCATCTCATGGCCTCTTCGCGCATCGCCTCGTGACGACATAGATTACGGGTGGGGTTTAGGCTTGAGGGTTTAATCCCAAATCCTAAACCCTAAATGACTCCGAACTGGTTCAGCATTTAGGGTCCTGCAGCCCAAGGCATCGCCACATTTCCTCTTTGGAGCAAAGTACGAGGCCGGGAATCGAAGTGGCAGCTCAGATCCCGTCAGCCCAGACCCAAACCCCAAAGCCTTAATGGTATTTACGCTAGAAGTATTGCCAATATCGCTGCTGAAGGTTCCCTATTCTAGTCACGCTAATCACAACCCCACATAACCGGCCCTTTTCTCATTGTTGAGGGCAGCAGCCCCAAACGTCAGTTCCTAAAGCCCTATATACCACGTCATTGCACCCTAGACCCTGTGAGGGTGAGCTCTCCTAGAGCTTCTAGGCTGGGTTTGTTTGGGGTTTAGGGCTTAGGGTTTAGGGTAGTCAGGGGCGGACACGAAGTTGGGTTTGAATCCGACGCTCCCTATAGGAATATTTTATTCGTCAGTGTAGGCTAGGTTCTGAGGTTGACAGGCCCCGAAACCTTGTTCTAGTTGGAAAGGCTCTTACATTAAAAGGTTTAGGGTTACAAGGCTTTATGGGGTGAGGGCTCATAATTGTAAGGGTTTGAAGTTTAGGGGTTAAAGGTCTCGGGTAACAGTACATGTTGCATCCTCTCCTCAAGTCTTTCACTACTTGGAGCTGCGTAGGACTTAGTAGGTGCAGTTATAAGAACCTGAACTGGGTTTATACTTAAAGAAAAGTTAGCTCATATGTAACCCTAGTTGCAAATCCCATGAACCTTTAGAGAAACCCTCTAAACCCTAAACCCTAAACCCGAGAAAGAGCCATTGCACCGTAAAACAAGAAAAACCCGCAAACCCTGTTCCAGACCTGCGTCCGCATCGGAACTGCCCTGCGCTGGGGCGAGTGGTCTTCACCGGAAGGCGTCAGCCGAAGTCTCAGTTGCCGGAGTGCCGGTGTTTTCGTGAGCCTTACGGCTGCCGGAACTGACTAGCTGAAGATATGAGATCAATATGACCCCTAAACCATCCAAAACCCCTAAACCGTAAAAACTCAGTATGACCCCTTAAACCATCCAAAACTCCCAAACCGTAAAAACTCAGTATGACCCCTAAACCATCCAAACCCTCTAAAACGTCAACTCTAAACTTAAGAAAAACTCTAAACTCAGTATGACCCCTAAACCCTGCACCCCTCAAAATCTGACATAATCGAGGCCGTGTGAAGCCTTCAATCTTCACAATGTCCTGCAACCCAAAGAGCCCTATACCCTGTTACTGCGGGAGTATTTGAGAGTTTCCGAAAAAAGGGACCCTAATATAGTACCCGAACTAGTAGGATCCTTATTATAAGCACCCCAAAATAAGGTACCTCAAGTTTTCAGAAACTCCCATTTCTGAAGCGATGAACAACTGTTCACGATTTCCCCGATTGAGCTGGGCGCAGAATTGACGCATGATTAGGGACAAACTAGCTAGCGATGGTAATCATGGTAGAAACAGCAGCAATAACAAACATGGACAACGTTATCAACAACACCAGTACGAACAATGATAGCAATCATGACAATACCGACAATACGGGTAGGCAAAACCCTGGTACCAACCAAAAATATACAAACGACAACTACTACCACTGTTGCCGCTACAAAGATCGAGACCAAGACCACTATTGTCACTTATAATAACACTAGCACTCACATATTTCCAATACCAATACTAGTTGTAACGTTTATATGTACCCCTCTAATAAAGGTAACATCGATACTGAGAACGATAAGGCCAATCATGTCAATGCAGTATTTGTAGTAAAAATACATAGAAACAGCAGAAATAAGAGTAGGAGTCGTAATACTAGCAATCTTTGCAGTAAGGACCAAAATACTGTTCGGCAGATACACGAGCAGTTATTACAGTACGACCTGTCACAATATCAACATTACGGATAGAACTCTGACTTCAAGAAATAATTACAACAATAGTAAGCATAATCGTCACATATAAAGAGAATAGAAATCATAATAGCGAAGAAGAAGACGCACAGATGCAACAACGAGGACCTCACTACTAGCAACAAACTATTAGAGTCAGCGGTGTTTGAGGTCTCCGAGACCTAAACGCACAACTTCATTAGCCCAACACCCCAAACCGAAAAACCCTAAACCCTAAAACCAAAACTGTCTCACGGATACCGCACAGATCCCTTAAAAGAGCCCTTAACAAAAAGGAGGCCTAAAAAACCCTAAACCCTAAACCAGAAACGCCCTAAACCCCAACCCTAAACCCTAAACCCTGAACCTCTAAATCCTAAACCGAGGCCTGGAAATGCATCCGCCTCAGCCGGCTGCTTCTTCTGAGTTGGCCTTGGAAGAGCAGCGGCTGGAGGCCGCTAGGGTTCCTATAAGGGTCCCTTTAAGGGATCTATACGGGGTTCAGGGTTTAGGGTTTGGATGTAGTGTTTAGGGTTTAGGGGTTCAGGGTTTGGATTTAATTTAGGAGTTTAGGGGTTTAGGGCCTAGGGGTCTAGGAATATGTTTTTATTAAATACTTTGTTGTTATGATTATTGCTATTGGTATGATGACTGCTGTAGTTGTTACTCGTATGACTAGAAACTACTAGAAATGTTATGATCGTTGTTGCCAAGCTCATCATGAATATCGCTGTCTTCTTGCCCTTGTATTTGAGGCCTCCTGTTCCGAACGGAATCTAAAGTTACCTCAGTGGCCTCATCTGAGGTTTCGTGTGCAGGGGCTTAGGGGTTTCGGATGGTTTCCCTAAGCCTTAGACCGTAAACCTAGGGACTGGGACGTCCTCGGGTTCAGCCGTTCATTTCAGAGTTTAAGGGTTTAGGGGTTTAAGGGTTTAGGGGTTTGGGGTTTAGAAGATTAGGGTTAGGGGCCGAGGGGCTAAGAAGTATCGGGGTTCAGAGGTTGAGTGAGTGAGGGGGCTTCACGGTTTAGGGTTGTGGGTTTAGGGTTTAGGATTACTGCAAGAACGCCTACTCTAGTTTCCGGCGGCTTAGCAATCAGATGAACTCTATTAGACCTCCTGATGCTCAAGCTTGAACGCCCTCAAGCCGAAACCCCAAACCAACATCTTAATCCATCATGTTCTCGCGAAGGATGGTGCAACTTTCTTCCGACTGACCTGGCCCGCTTTCGATGCGTCTGCAGCTGAGAGTCAGTGTTTCCGCATGTCGATGCGGCTGTGGGCCCTTGGCAGCGGGCAGTCCTGCACCAATGTAAGCCCGTGGCGCAGTACCACGGTCATTTTGCATAGTCTGCTGCTATCCTGCCAGGCATCCGCTTTGCAACCTTGTGGAGTATCGCATCCGAATGCAGCGTCGCAAGCCCAGGTTACATTCAATTCAACACATGGAGCTTCTGAGACGATCCCCAGGCCCTCATAGCCCTAGATCCCCAATGCCCAGCCTTCAAACTTTTTGGGTTCTTAGAGTTTAGCAGGAATCGGAGAGTTTAACCTTTCATTTCTGTGGTTTATTGGGGGAGTAGGTAGCCCCAACGCCGGAAGCTTTGACCCCACGCAAACTGCAAGCCCCAAGCCCTAAGAACCCCAAACCTTGAGCCCTTTAAGCCCCAAACCCTAAACCCCATCCCCCAAAGCTTCTACGCTTAAATCCTATAAGCCCTGAAACCCTAAACCCTAAACTCTAACCCTACCCCAAAACCCTTATTATTAAACCCCAAACCCTAAAGGCTCAAGCCTTCAGTCCTTCAGCCCCTCCCAGGCATGTCGCGGTTTAAGTACCAGAGCCGCCTCTCCCCGGAGATGGCTGCCAGGGCCCAGGCCGGATCTGTCGAAATCTGAAGTATTGCCTTAACCCTGAAGAACCTGCCTTCTTAAGGACTTATATAAGGAAATCATAATAGGGAACCCTAAAAAGGGAGGTCTTCAGGGTTAAGGTAGGGTGTAGGGTTCTAGGGTTGAGTTTTCGGGGTTTAGGGTGCAGGGTATAGGGTTTAGGGGTTTGGGAGTTTGGGCAACTCTTTATCTGAACAGGTTCCGTAGTAGGTCTGCAGTATGAGATACGAATGAAGGGTTCTATGATTCTGAAAAGGGCACCATAAGCAGGGGTTTCTAGAGTTTGATCAGGGCTTGACAGGTTTCCTTGGGTTTTATGGTGGTGTTGACGAGAGTTCGTACAATGGTTTCTTCATAAATCACGACCAGCCCCTGTCAGCCTCCCCGCCCCTCCACTCGTGTCGTGGGGCTCTTTGGCTGCACATTGTGGGGATAAGCCAAAAACCTCAAACCCCAAGCCCTAAACCGCAAAACCTAACGCTTAAATCCGCTAAAACCCTAAACCCTAAACCCTAAACCCTAAACCCGAAGCCCTAAACCCTGAGAGCCCTCTCCGCCCTAAACCGCCCCAACAGGCCGAGACCTCTATTCCTCATAGAGAAGCCTTTACCTTACTACAACCCTTCGAAGAGCCCTTCGAAGGAACCCTTATTAATATAAGCCTAAACTCCTGAACCTTAAACTGCCCTAAACCCATAAGCCCTAAACCCGATACCGAAAATCCTACAGCCTAAAAGACCCCAAACCTGAAAATCCCGCAGGAGAGTTTGGCTGCACAAGAGAAGCTCTATGTGGTTGGCACCATCCGCCGGCTCCTCAATGTTTCATACAGTGGGGGTGCCTGGGTCTAGGGTTTAGGCATTTAGGGGTTTGATAGGGCTCGGCAGGGTTCGATGGGGTTTTAAGGCGGGTTTGTGAGTTGCAGATTAAGAAGGATTCTAGGTTCTGCGGATCTATATATGTGTGTATATATATATATACTTTATATCTATCTATATATATATATATTATAATGGGGTAAAGGTTAGGGGTTATTAGTACGCACATGTATATGGCTTTCTGGGTGTAGGATTCAGGGGTTGCATTTTCTGAAGCTTTTTGTCGCTCTTCCAGTTTTCTGCGTCGGTGTAGGACTGATGTGAAGCCGTCTAGGTTTAGGATGATAGGTAGATAGACTAGATATGTAGATTCATCGACAAGTACGTAGACAGATATGCAGACAGACAGACAGACGGACAGACAGATAGCTCGATGCGGATCGATCGATAGATAGGTAGGTAGGTTAAGAAAATTGGGGGCGATGCTACAGTAATCTTGCCGGTGCGTGTCTCATGGAGGTCCTTGATGTCCTTTGCTTCAAACCTCAAGAGCCCTTGGCAGCCCTGCTAAACCCTAAACCTTAAGCCCTCTGAGCCGCAAGCCCTACAGCCTAAACCCTACTTGGAGGGTCGGGGGACTTAGTAACTGGTTTTTTTAGGGACTTGCAAGTACCATAGCCCCAATTAGGGTCCCTTTTAGGGTACTTATAAGTCTACTTACTACCTACTTACTAAGTCCCCCGACCCTCCAAGCGAGGAGCCGGATCAGGTAAACCCTGTGGTTGAGAAAAAGAGCTTCCGGGGTTCCGCAGCCTTCAGTACTGGTTACTTCAGTCTAAATTATGGCCCCATTTGGGGACCCTAAATATTAGGTGCCGTATTATGATCAGGACCCAAAGAGGGACCGTAATTTTGAAAGCCACCCATTTCCAGAATCTGGATGATCTTACTTCATCAGGCCGACGAGTGCCGCAGAAGTGCGGCCCTGCGCTTTCCTTCCGACAGTACTACCAGGACAGTGATGCTTAGGGCTTCTGGGCTGTGCAGGTTTCCAGCGGTTATAGTGAACCCCAGAAAGTTGGAACATGGATTTAGGATGATTAGTGCAGGGATCCCCTATACTTTACCTTTAAGGCCATGAGGATAATGATGTTCCAACTTTCTGGCCTCTACTGTGTACGCTTTGGGTTCAAGGGTTTCGCGTTTACGTGCTTCTTGAGGTTATCCAGAGCTTGTGAGTGGTTGAAACTCTGTATGGCTTTAGTGGGTATCGCAACGTTCAGGAGGTGTTTCAGGGTGTACCGGAACCCTTAGACTCTTGAAGCCCTAAGCCGAAAACATCGAAATACGGTTGATGATATAAATCCTGCATTACAGTACCCATAATAAGGAATCTACCATAATTCCCATAATTTAGGGTCCCTAAGGTAATGCAGGATGTATATCATCAACAGTATTTCAAAACACTGAACCGGAAACTCCTACTTCCTTAAGCTCCAAAGTCCCTAAACCCCTTAAACCCCAAGGTTGGCAGCTTGGCTGTTTAGGGTTTAGGGTCCCTAAACCCTAAACCCTGAACCGGTTTAGGGTTTAGGGTTTACTTGTGGTGTTAAGGTACGGGATTTTGATTTTGGTTTTAGATTCTACGCTTGAGCGCGCTTTGCATCCTTTGTGAAAATTCGAATTAAGCTACTTGGAGGATCATGGGACTTAGCAACTAGGGCTATAAATAAGGTAATCGGGCTTATAACTCTAATTAGGGTAATTACTGAAAACCATTCTTACTGAGTCCCATGACCCTCCAAGTATCCTTTGTGAACTTCCCATAAAGCTACGTCTCTTGAGAAGTGCACCCACCGTGCATGCAATGCATACACACTAAACTTCTAAACCCCTAAACACTAAACCCTAAACTCTACCTCCATACACTAAACTCAACCCGCTACATCGTAAACCTCAAACTAAAAACTAGACCCGAAACTTCACTAAACCAAAACCCAAACCCTTTAAATTCCCAAACCCTAAGTTGCTATATCCTAAATCCTTAAACCCTCAAATCCCAGACCCTACCCTTATAATAGATCCCTTGAAGGAATCCCTAAACCCATGAACCCCTAAGCCCCTAGCCCCTACCCTTACAGATCCCTTAAAGATCCCTTATAGATCCCTAGGACCCTAAAATCTTCTAAAACCCCGAACCCCCATAGCCCTAGAGCCCCTTAAAGGAACCCTAGAAAACCCTAACACCCTCGAGCCCCTATACTCACTTTGCTAAACCCTAACCCCTAAACCCTAACCCCTAAACCCTAAACCCTAACCCCTAAACCCTAACCCCTTAACCCTAACCCCTAACCCCTAAACCCTAACCCCTAAACTCCTCGCATCCCATGGCCAGGAGAACGACCGAGAGACTCTGGAGTTCGTAGCAGCCTCAGCCACGCGGGTCCGAGGAGGGTTAAGGGTTTAGGGTTAGGGGTTTAGGGTCTTAGGATTTAGGGTTTAGGGTTTTGGGGTTTAGGGTTTTGAGGGTTTAGGGGTTTCGGGTTTTAAGGGTCTTAGGTTCCTTTAAAGGGGTCTATAAGGCTACTATGTGGGATCTTTAAGGGTTTAGGATTTTAGGGTTTGGGGGTTTTAGGGTTTAGGGTTTGAGGGTTGGGGGTTTAGGGTTTATTGTTTGGGGGTTAGGCTTTTGGAGCTTCAGGTGTTAGGGCTTAGGGTTTAAGGGTTGAGGCTTAGGCTTTTTTTTGTTGCTGGGTTGGCCCCCTGAAGATCTTCGCAAGTAAGATCGTGTTAAGCCAGACAAGGGAAGGTATACAATATTCCAGGCCTGCCCAGATTAGAACGACCAATTATATTCGATTTGCTAGTGCTGTTAGGTTGTTAGTACGGTTAGTAACAATATTATTATTCGGGTTTTACTGGTACAACAGGTAGTAGCAGTATTATGAGGTTTGTTTATATTGTCGGCGTAACTCGGAAGTGTGTCCACCCCAAAGTGTTAGGGTTCAGCTACAAGGTTAAGGGCTCAGGTTGAGGATGTAGCATGTAGGGCTTAGGTTTGGGGTTGAGGCTCTAGGGTAAAGGGTTAAGGCAAGTGTTTGGGGTCGGGTGTTGGAGGGTTTTGGGGGTTAAGTTAAGGGTCGGTACAGGGTTAAGGATTTACGATTTAGCGTGAGGGACGTAAGACCCCTCCCATTGAAAATCTAGAAATAGTTGTCATGATGTAGAGCGTTCGGAGTATTTATGATTATGTTCACACGCAATAACAGTCCCCTCTCCAGACTAAACCCAGCTTACGATGGCAGGTGCACAGCCTGCCCGGAGATCCCGAATGTGCGTATCGCTTCTTGGCTCTGAGTACCCAGACCTTGCAACATCCTTTAATTAAGGAATAAACTTTGTATCATATTAGGGATCCTACGATGAGTTAAGGTGTATTCTTTAACTAAGGGATTTTGGAAGATCTGAGTAGTTGGCCCTTACGTTGAGGGTTCAAGGCTCGTTAGCTGTAAGCTACAAGAAGGAACTCGTGTGGCTGGCTCTTAGGAGTTCAAGTTTAAGGGCCTACGGTTTATTCGCTACGTTGAATTGTTCGGAGGGGTTCAGAAGTCAGCAAAGGCTTTCTGAGGTTCCTTGACATAGGTATACTTTGAAATGCTCAAAGCCCGGTTCCCAATGATGGTTAAATCCCCCGTATTCAAAGCCTACATCTTCAACCCTGAACCTGAACATTCAGGGTTTTTAGGGTCTGCAGGGCGTGTATCCATTCCGAAGTCAGCTGAGGCTTCTTTGTCGATGCTAAGCACGAGCGCTTCTGCGAAGTGGACGGTGCCCCGGAGGGCGCGGCCGAGGACTCGCGGAAAGGGTTGGGTTTAGGGTTTAGGGGTTTGGGGTTTAGGGGTTTAGGGGTTTCGGGTTGGGGCCTAGGGTTTCGGGTTAGGGTATGGAGTTGAGGTTTTAGCGGTTTGGGGAGTTAAAGTTTGGGGTTTAGGGTTTTACGGGTTTAAGGTTTAGGGTTTAGGGGTTCAGGGGTGTGGGGGTTTAGTGGTTTAAGGTTTGTGGGTTAGGGTTTAGGGTTTGAGGTTTGGTGTTTAGGGTTTCGGTTTAGTTTTTTGGGGGTTGGGGTTTAGGGCTTAGGGGTTGCCCTCAGCGTCTTGTACAGGAGCTTTCCTGAAAGTTCCTGCGAGGGATCGTGTAAAGGTTTCATAGAAGGGTCACCATGAGGGTGAAGAGAATCAGCGATGGGAGACTGCAAGTAGCTGAGCTGAGGGAGCTGCGGTGCGGTGTTTCGCCTGCTCCAAGGAGCAGTTTGCAAAGTTCCCGATGGAACAAGAGGAATGGTCCGCTGCCTTGACAAGTTCGGCGCTCAATCCTTCATGAGCCGCGCCTTTCCGATTACACGTGGTTCCATGTGATATGGGTGGTTGTCAAAGATAGGGTCCCGTTTTGGGTCCTTATTATAATACGGCACCAAATATTTAGGGTACCCAAAAAGGGACCCCAATTTTGACAACTACCCATATAGGGGCTTGGTCTTTTTGTGGAACAGTTCTGTAGGGTTCCCTAGGATTTCCATATCTCAGAAAGCCCCTTGACATAGTGGCCTGAATAATTACCAATTAATAGTTACTGGTTAGGGGAGGTTGCTTATTATGATTATAGCATGATGGCCCCCAAGAACCCTATTCTAATATTCAAGGCCCCGATATTTATCATTTCAAAACCTCGTGGTAACCCTCCAAAAACTGATCAACCCGCAGTCCAGTCAGTCAGGCTTTTTGTATAACAAGCACTTAAAACAAAAAATCATGAAGTCTAAGCCCTACTAGACCTTAACCCTCAGCCCTAAACCTCAACCGTACCCCCAACCCCTAAACCCTACATCTTGAATCCCCAAACCCCTGCCGAGGTCGTGAGTCTCTGGTGCCTCCGGCCCCGACGAATTGGCTTGTGCCCGAGCAGGCCAGGAGATGCACCCGCGTGATTGGGTTAGGGGTTTAGGGTTTAGGGGTAACTGTAACTGAGTAGAGGTTACTTTTCTCTTGGGTTTAAGGTTTGAGTCAGGTTTGAGGTTTAGGATTCACTGCGGTTTCTGACGGTTACTATTAAGTTTTGGGTTGAGGCTTTAGGGTGTGTGTTTGCTTGCGTATTAGGGGTGCTTCAAGGGTTACTGTCACGCTGTCTATGGTGTTCAGGCTTCAGCTAGGTGGCCGTGGAGCGCGCATTCCCTGCCTGAGCAGTATTGACTTCTAGCATATATCTACTCAATTTAATGTTCACTCTTCTTAGGTGTTCCAAGTTGCTGGTAGTGCTTTGCACAAGTAGGAGCTGCAAGAATGCAGTAGTGACTTAATTAGTGGCCCCAAACCCAAAACCCCAGTGAACCTTAAGGATTTTTAGGGATGCTGTGACAGGGGGGGTTCCGAACATAGGAGGCCGGAATATTTTACCTTAAATAGTAGGATCCTTTTAAAAAGGACCCCAAAATAAGGTAACCCCCTATTTTCGGAAACTCCCACAGGTCCCCTTCGATGCTGATCCAGATCCGAAGTGCGTGCGTTCCACATACCCTCTGGCTCTGACAGCATCCGTGTTGGAACGCCTGGTGCCCGGCTTCGGGTTATAGGTTTTAGGGTTATAGGGTTTAGGGTTTGAGGGTTTTAGGGATTAGTGTTTTAAGGTTTGAGGTTATAGGGTTTAGGGTTTTAGGGTTTAGGGCTCGGGCTGCAGTTGAGTGATTTCGTAACGTGGACAGCTGCGGAAGAAACACAGTACTGTGGCAATCAATAAGGGTGATTTCTATTACCATATCTAGTTTTATTGCGATTGTCATTGTTGTTTTTGTTGTTTCTATAGTTATAAGGACTATTGCTATGATAGAGCCTACTTAATCCTGCACCGGGTTTAGTGCCCCAACACAGACAACGGTGTACCGGTGCTCTGAATAGCGTGCTCCGTTTCCCCCAAAACCCCTAAACCCCCACAACCTCTAAACCCTAAACCCTGAAAATCCCTAGCCCTAAACCCTATACCGCTAACCCTAAATCCTCGAGCCCGTAAACCCTTAAACCCTAAACCTTTAAGCCCACAAAACCCAAATACTTGGAGGATCATGGGACTTAGTAATTAAGTAAGGTTATAAGTACCCTAATTGGAGTTATAAGTATAGTGTCCTTATTTATAGCCCTAGTTACGAAGTCCCATGATCCTCCAAGTAACCAAGGTCTGGATGGTGCGAACCCCGCGTCTCATCACCTCTGCCTCTTCGCGCCGTGGAAGATCAGCGAAGAGGCAGCGCGCTGGCACCGCGCTCAGCACTTCGGGGACACTTTCGGTCTAGGGCTTCTAGGGACTATAGGTTTTATAGGGCTTGTGGGGCTTCTATGGTTGAAAGGGTTTACGGGACGGTAGGAAACATGGAATTTGGGGTTTAGGATCTCTGAACCCCGAACTGCTATTGGTATAGCGGCCTAAACAACAAACTTTAAGTCCTTAACCCTTAAACCCACATCGCACTGCGGCCTCAGCGACACTAGCTAGCTCGCACTTCTTCCTCATCTACACATTGAGCAAGACCCAACTCAAAACTTTAACCCTGAGCCCTATAAACCCTATGACCCCATACAAACCCTAAGCCCCAAACTCTAAAGAAAGGATATGCGAAAAGGTGGATGGAAACTCAGCTTTAGCGGCTCGAGCTCCCAGTGAGGCTCAAGCCTTTGAAGACTGCCTTTGAATCTGGCCTCTCACGAGGGTTTGGGGTTTGGGTTTAGACGGTGTGGGGTTTAGGGTTTCCTCAAGGATTGAATGATTTATATCGTGCAAGACTTCGGAAAATTCAGGATTTAGTGTTAAAGAATTCATGATCGGATTCTGCCAAATCCAACACCTTACAAACCTCGACTCAAAGAGCCCTTATAGAATAATGTAGGGGCCTTAATGATTAGGCCAGGGTTTTGGGGGTTCTTTATTGTAAATATAGTATACTATACCCCCAAACCCCATTCTAATTATCAAGGCCCCTACATAAGAGCCGCTGTGGAGCGAAGGGGTTCAGGTCTTCTGAAGTTTCGTTCAAGGTTTTTGACGGTGTCTCGGTCCTGGCTGTCTGCAACCTTCCAGTGATGCGTAGCGAACTGGGCAACACTTCGGTTTTGGCCCATGTTCTCTACGTGGTAAGTAGACTTATAAGTACCCTAGAAGGGACCCTAATTGGGGTTATGGTACTTGTAAGTCCTTAAAATAACCAGTTACTAAGTCCCCCGACCCTCCAAGTGGGACCGCTTCCTTCAAAGGAATCTCTAAGGGTTCTATAAAGGGTTTAGGGTTTGGGGAGTTTCCGGAAATTAGGGGTACCTTTAATTGCGGGACTGAGGCCTTACCGAGTCGAATATGCGCCATACCTTCCAAGCATGAATGGAGGCGGGGCAGATCGGAGTTGCAGACATCGATCAATCAAGGGCTCCCTTAAAACAGATCCATCACGGTTTAGGGTTTAGGGTTTAGGGCTCCCAAAACAGATCCATCACGGTAGAGTCCTCATTCCGAGGACAAAGGGTGTAGGGTTAAGGGGTTGAGGATTGAGGGGTTTTGTGCTCAGGGTCAAAATATGAAGTCCTCTATGCTTGCAAGAAATACTCCGCCCTCTACTCGCGTGTTTCATGACATGGTTTAGGGCTTAGGGCATCGTATCAAGCTCGCTGTAATTTGAGGTGCATTCCTCAATTTAAAGGACACTCCTGATGAAACCGACACACACACACACACACACACACACTTCACCATCTGCGTCAAGCCTCTAGTAGCCACCTAAGCCCTAAACTCCTAGTCTCTTAGACCAAAACGCTGGACCCTGAATCGGATGACCTATATATATATATATATATATATATATATTTTATTTTATATTATATTATATTATATTATATTATATTATATTATATTATATTATATTATATTATATTATATTATATTATATATATATATATATTAAACCCCCCAAATCGCAAAAGCACTGAAACCTTAAACCTTAAATCGCCCTAGGTCCTATCGCTTAGCATACTCCAAACCCCATTCTATCTTTCAAGGCCCGTCTATTAATACAGGGGCCCAGGTAATTACCAATACTATTTTGGAGGTTCCTTATTGTGATTAGTATAATGGGCCTCCAAAACCCTATTCGAATTATCAAGGCCGCGCTAGTATAGAACCCTACTCTAGACCCCTTATAGATCCCTTTAAGGAACCCTTTACAGGGAACCTTGTTCTAATTATTAAGGCCCCTGTATTATTTCTTCGTGGGTTCCAGGCCGGCTGCCAGTTCCCGGCGATGTGAGTGAGGACCTGCATGGCTCCCTTGTTGTTGACGCATTCCGGGTTTTAAAGGGTTCCTCAAAGGTCTCTTGAAAGGGATCCCCTTAAGGGATCTATATGGGACTTTCCGAAATTAGGGGTACCATATTTGGGGGTCCTTATAATCAGGATCCTACTATTTAGGGTACTATATTAGGGTCCCCTATTTTCGGAAACTCCCATATAGGGATCTATGAGGGGTTTAGGGGTTCGGATTTCGGGTTGAGGGTTTGGCGTTTTTGAGTTCAGGGGTTTAGGGTTTAGGTTTTAGGGCCGGTTTAGGGTTTGGGTTTAGGGTTTGGGTTTAGGGTTTAGGGTTCATGGTTTAGGGTTTGGGGTTTGGGGTTTAGGGTTTAGGGTTTAGGGTTTGGGTTTAGGGTTTAGGGTTCATGGTTTAGGGTTTGGGTTTAGGGTTTAGGGTTTTCGGGTTTAAGGGGAAAAACCGCGAAGCCCGACAAACCAAGAAGCCCCAGATTCCCAGATCATTCAAGGGCCCTCGGAGAACTCTTGTAGAGCTCTCAAAGAACTCGCAACACTAAAACCCGAACAGCAGTCTGGTAGAGCTTGCTTGCGGGACGTGTATAGAGTCTTTTCGAAGGCTAAACCCTAAACCATAAACCCAATTCGATGAAGTTCGAAGGACCGAATTGATTGGTATGCTCCCGACTCGGTAGAGTGCGCCAGGGGCGAAATGAGACCAGCGGCAGAAAAGTACTCCTCAGTTCAGGTCTTCATAAAGGTTTTTGTTTTAACCTTCAGGTTTTGAACAGTACCTTGAGTTCAGGCTGAATGTCATGATTCATGGAACAGAATACAGTATACCTTTCGGTTGATGTCTACTCACACAAATGGTAAGTAGTGGTGTAACCCCAAGGGTCCAAGTACCTAATACTCGTAATATACTCTCCCAAAATCCTAACCTACATAACTACTATCCGAAAGCCGAGTACCTAATTACTGGGTCCTTTGGACCCTTGGGGATAAGGGTCACTTCTATACCCCAACACCCCTAAACCCTAAACCCCCATACTTAAGGGGATCATGGGACTTAGTAACTGGGGTTGTGAATAAGGTAACTATACATTTATAATTACTTATAACCCCAGTTAGGGCACTTATAACCTTACTTCCTAAGTCCCATGATCCTCCAAGTACCCTAAACCCTCACTCCGGAACCTTCGGTGAGCTGCAGGTACGTTTACGAGACCGCCGGAAGCCAGCCGGGATCTGGAGGACGAGGACGATTTCAGAGCTTAAAGGGGATCTATAGGGTTCCTTCAAGGGATCTATAGGGTTTCGGGTTTAGGGTCTACTTGGAGGTTCATGGGACTTGGCAAGTAGGGTTATGAGTACCTTAGTTATAAGTAGCTCTAAGTAAAGTTGCCTTATTTATAACGCTAGTTACTATGTCCATTGATCCTCCAAACAGGGTTCAGGGTTTTGAACATTTCAGCGGTTTAGGGCCTCAGTCACCCCGACAATAACCCCCTATGCAATCCTTCGTAGAACTGCAACCCTAAACCCTGCAAGCCTTTAAACCTTACATCCCTAAGGCTGAACCAATATAAACGCTACAAGCCCTACAACTTTAAAGCCTAAACCCAGAACCCTACAAGCCTAACCCCTGCAACACCAAACCCCCAGGGGTCTGCTGAAAATCGCTGTAATTGCACTATGACCCCGGTGGTTTGGGGTTTAGGGTTTAGGGGGGATTAAGGTTGTGGATTGTTTAGGGTTTTGGGTAATTCAAAACTGTAGGACTCTGGGTTATGGGTGTTAGAGCTTGACGTGTTACTTGGAAGGGCAGGGGACTTAGTAAGTAGGTTATAAGTAGAGTTATAAGTACCCTAAATGGAGTTACCCCAATTATAACCCTGCCCTTCCAAGTAGGGTTTTAGGGATTTGAGTTGTGGATTGTTTAGGGTCGACCTGGAACCTAAGACACCCGGTTTAGGGTTTAGGGTTTAGGGTTCCCCAAAATGATTTCCCGATAAAAGTCCTCAAAGGGGTAGGTGATTCGGGGTGAAGAGTCAGAGAGGGTTTAGAGTTCAGGGCTGTAGGTTGTTGAGGGTGTATAGTAGCGTTCCACACAGCCTGCTTTACTACATAGGAGTTCTGAACCAAGACCCTAAACCTTAAACCTTGAATCCGAAATCCTAAAACCTTAACCCTGCACCCCCAACCCGAAGCCCAAACCCCTTTGAATGCGTGTTCATACTTGGAGGATCATGGGACTTAGTAACTAGGGTTATAAATAAGGTAACTGTACTTATAACTCCAATTAGGGTACTTATAACTTTACTTACTAAGTCCAATGATCCTCCAAGTAGACCCTAAACCCGAAACCCTTTTTGATCCCTGGAAGGAACCCTATAGATCCCTTTAAGGAACCCTATAGATCCCTTGTAAGCTGAACCAGCACAGGACCGAGCCGAGCTGCAGTTGCCATTGCCGGACGCCTGGAACTGGAACGGAGAGTGAGTGCCCTAAACCCTGAGCCTCCAAAGCCCTAAGCCCTAAGGCCTCTATATATCTATGTATATATATATATATATATGTTTAACATAAGCCTTGTAGTAATAATTAGTACACTTATAGATTCTGAAGGAACTCTTCAAAGAACCTCACACCCATAGTACCCTTATAATAGATCCTTATGGGAACTCTTCAAAGAACCCTAAACCCAGAGCCTCCAAAATCCCGAGGCGACGGGCTTCGACCATGCCTTGTGGGACAGCGCAATCGAAGAGCTGGGCTTGCACCAAGAGCAGACGAAGGTGGGTTTTTTGTTTCAAAGGGGAAAAGGAGGGACCCTTAATCGGGTCCCCCTACCCTATAATGGGCTATATAATGGGTATATAATAGCTATATTAGGGGTATATACCTAGGGGTCCTCATTAAGGGTCCCTCCTTTTTCCCTTGGATTGTTTAGGGTTTAGGACTTCAAGCATTTAAGGTTTACGAGGTGTGGGGCTTTTTGTGGTCAAAGGTTTACAGTCGAGGGTTTGGGTTGCGGGTGTGGGAGTTTAGCCGTTTTAGGGTTTAGGGCTTCGCGCCTGTTTCACGTGTCCCCAGCCTGAAGCAGCATCTGCATTCAGAGCAGCGCGGGGGGATCGGTACGATGCTGCGTGCTTCTACACGGTACTCGCTTGCAACAGCATGGTCTCAGAAAATATGTCATACTATAGTCTACAACAGCATAGATATAATATCGTAGAAAGAATACATCGATGCTCGGAAGCGGCATGGGACACATGCGACAATCATTCTCGTCCTTCTCGCGCCAAGAAGAAACCTGCTACAGCATGCACCCCAATTTCCCTAGGTAGGGCTTTGGGGCATCTTATACTTGCCCTTATTGGGCTTAAGAGGATCTTACCTACTAGCATTTTTCAAAGGCTTAAAGCACCTCCTGGTTCCGCCTCGGCAGGCCTTGGGGCTTTTTGCTCGAGTGCGTGTTGTGCGTTCGGGCCTCGGCAGTTGGAAGCAAGAAGGTCGTACGGCTGATGATATAAATCCTGCATTACCCATAGTAAGGAATATACCATAATTCCCATAGTTTAGGGTCCTTAAGGTAATGCGGATTTCTATCATCAACAGTAGTACGTATCCGCTTCTGGGGCTGCTGGCGCTGCTGCTGCTACGTCGTGACGACGACGACGACCACGAAAGGCACTAGGCACATACTCCTCATACTGCTGCTACTACTACTGCTGCTACTACTGCTACTACTACTGCTACTACTACTGCTACTACTGCTGCTGCTGCTGCTACTGCTACTGCTGCTACTCCTCCTGCTGTTGCTGCTCCGACTACTGCGACTGTGGCTGAGTCTGTTTTTTGCTGCTTCAGGCACAATATCTGTTATTGGCAGCCGAATAACACGCAGATTCAGCTTTATTCGCCAACTCAAAAGCCATCGTGAAGAGCGCTGCTGAGGTGAAGGAGGCCCGGAAGGAATGCAGTTCGTCTCAAGTCCATCCCGGCCACTGCGACTCTTGGTGCGCCGAAGCGCGTCGTTGGACTGGGGGGTTTTGCGTCTAATATCGGGGTTTCAATAAGTAGAATAGGGTTTTGGGGGTATACTACTATATTACCTGGACCCTCCAACCACCCTTTTTTAGACCCTAAATGCCCCTTATTTGGGACCATATACCCCTATTTGAGGGTACAAGGAGGGTCCTGGTATACTACAGTTACAATAAGGAGCCCCCCGAAGGGTGCCCTTGTCCGGTTAAGGGGTACGGTAAGCCTTGCAGTGAGCCCCTCTGTGTCAAACGCTGCAGATGCCGCCCTTGGAATGTCCGCCGAGCGTGGCCGGTCCCTCAACAATGGCTGCCTGAGCCTGTCCTTTGAGTCAGTAACAGTAATAATATAGGAGCCTAAATCATTACCAATACGCTTTTGGGTTCTTTATGTTAACTTTTGTATAATAAAATATCCCAAAACCCTATTCTAATGATTAAGGCCCCTACAGTGGTCCAGAAAGTCTTTGGTTCGGAGAGACCACGACAGCTCTCAGCGTGGTTTTGAAGGAGGGACCAGGCACGGCTTCAGCAGAAAGTCAGGAAGCCCACCCCATCCAAAACGAGAATCTATTTTGGCGACAGGTGCTGTGAACAACTACCTGGACCCTGTGGTTTGTAATAGTCTATAGATGTCTAATTACAACCTAGTGCCATTTTTGGTGAGCTAAGTTTCTTACTCAATGTTCCTAACCATAAAGTAGAAAAAAAAAAAAAAGGGAGCTGCATTCTGGGGCCCAGGTAACATGTGGGAGTTTCGGCAAATAGGGACCCTAATATAGTACCCTAAATAGTCGGATGCTTATTATAAGAGCCCCAAAATGAAGGGAACCCCCCCCAAATTTTCGGACACTCGAAACCCTAAACCCTCATAGAACCTTTATAGATCCCTTTAAGGAACCCTTTAAAGGAACCCTGTAAAGGAACCCTTTAATAAGGCAAGGTACCCCCTAATTTTCGGAAACTCCAATGCCGAAGAGCAAGAGGTGCATCACTTCTCGCATTGTGCTTGACTTATAAGTACCATAACCCCAATTAGGGTCCCTTTTAGGGTACTTATGAGTCTACTTACTACCTACTTAGTCTCCCGACCCTCCAAGTGCCGCTCAGACCGTTTGGAGCAGCAACGGGCGTTTCGTCCCGCTCCTGTGGTGGCCCAGCATTCCAGCGAAATGCCCGGCGCTCGTATGGAGGTTTATGAGGGACCTTTTTTGTGTCCACTTTGTTAATTGCCTGTGCTTGTGCTCCATGTTTGAGTAGCCGTAATCCCACAAAAAGATCCTTAACCCTAAACCCTAAACCCTAAAACCCTCTTGGAGTCGGCCGACTGTCTGGCGGACGTCAAAAAGGAGCTCAAAAAAAAAAAAAACCTAAAACCCTAAACCCTTAAACCCCTAAACCCCTAAACCCCTAAACCCTAAGCCCTTTGAATCCCCCGAACCCTGGAGCCCCTGAACCCTGGAGCCTTGAAGCCCTAAAACCTTAAAGCCCCAAACCCTCAACAGCCTTAAAGGGAATAGGGTTTAGGGTTTAGGGTTTAGGGTTTAGGGTTTTGGGTTTTGGGGTTTAGGGTTTTGGGGTTTAGGGCTCCAGAAAGTTGGGATATGGTTTCAGGGTAGGATACCTTGTAATTTACCATAGAAGGGTTTAGGATAATCATATTCCAACTTTCTGGCTTTTACTGTAACTCCCTGGTTCTGAGAAAGGAATGGGGGAATGGATCCCTATGACGCCCCCTTAAGGTGCCCTATAGTCTGTAGTCGTCCCAATACTTATAACCCATTCCCCCATTCCCTGCTAAGAACCAGTGAGTTAAGCTTCATGGTTTCCAGGTGCCGAGACAGACAAGAATCTGGAGATGTCCGGACAGATGCACCAGGCCTTCCGCAAGAGAGGCTGTGTGGACCGGTTTAGGGTTCAGCATTTTGAGTTTGGGGGCTTCGAGGTTTAGGGTTGAGGGGTTTAGTGGTTTGGGGTTTAGAGTTTAGGGTTTGGGGTTCAGGGGTTCGGGGTTTAGGGTTTAGGCTTCTAGGGCGTAAGCTGGTTGGCAGTTTGGGGTTTAGGGGTTTGGGTCAGTAGGGTTTAGCGTTTTCGGAATCCGCAGCGGCTTCTGTCTTATACTTACTCGGGTCTCCCGCGCATCAGGCCATGAGGATCCCAGAGACTCCAAAACCCTTTAATTAAGGAATACACCTTAACTCATATCAGGGGTCCTGTTAGAATATATTCATTAATTAAGGGGTTGTTGGAGTCTCTGGAGTTGAAGAAACCGCAGGATTTCGATGCTGAGGCTTCAGTAATAGAAGCCTGAATCTTTGCGAAGCTACTGCTTAGGTTCCCTGTCAGAACTGTACTAATACGCACAAACCCTATTCTAACCATTCAGGCCCCTATACTGGCACTTCTTGAGCAGCTCGAAGACTTAAGCAACACTGCTTAGCTCCTGGCCAGAACCTTTCCCCTAAGGCTCTAAGGACTCATATTTTAAGGCTTTTGGGCCATTTCGAGCCCTTAGGGTTCACGATCGGGCTCTCTTGCGGAGACTCATGGGACAGTGCCTTGCCATGGGCAGCGGGGCATCGACCGCTGATGTCAAAAAGCGCGTTGAGGCCGTGGAGTGACTTGGTTGGCAGCTGGCAGTTTCCGTTACAGCGTCCTACCAGGCCTCTAAGGTGAGAAGTATGGGCCCCTAATATGGACCCTTAGGCCTATTTGAGGGAGCTCTAGGGACCTATAAGAGTCTTTTTAGGGTATGTAGTAGGTATTATACTTCCTGTTCCATGACGGACATGGTCCAAGGAAGCACTGCGCAGGCAAGAAGATAGGCCCGGGAGTTTTCGAAAGTCCACTTGGAGGATCATGGGACTTAGTAAGTAAGGTTATAAGTACCCTAATTGGAGTTATAAGTATAGTTTCCTTTTTATAACCCTTGGTAACTATGATCCTCCAAGCAACCACACACCCCCAAAACTCATCATAAAGATCTGAAAGCCTAACAGTTCCCTAAGCCCTGTAAACCCTAAACGAGCCTAAGTACGCTAGACCCTAAGCCCCCACGCCCTAAACCCCCAACCCTAAACCCTAAACCCTACACCGTAGACCCAAAGACTCAGAGAGCCCAAGACCCCTTAATTAAGGGATATAGCCTAAATCACAATATAGATCCCCTTATTATTTAAGGTATACTCCTTAATTAAGGGGTATTGGGCTCTCTGGGGAAAGTAGACCCTAAACCCTAAACCCCTATAGATCCCTTATAGAACCTTTTAAAAGGAGCCCCTCAACCCTATGATTAAGGGCACCCTACAGTGAACCTCAGAAAGTTGGAACACGGATTTAGGATGATTTGCGCTAGGATTCCCTCTACTTTACCTTAAGGGCATGGGGATAATGGTGTTCCAACTTTCTGGCTTCTACTGTAAACCCTAAACAGCGAAACACCGGGGGCAGGCTCCGGGACTGATGGTCTTCATGAAATGATGAAATGTGCCAAGGAGCTGCGTCGACTTCGGCCCCTTCTTCAAGGGGCCCCTTAAGGGATGTATAAGGGATCTATGGTGATCTATAAGGGATCTATCAGGAGTCTGTGGTGATCTATAAGGGATCTATAGGGATTCAGGGTTTAGGGTTTAGGGTTTCGAATCTAGGGTTTAGAGTTTAGAGTTTAGGAGGCTTAGGCGTGCTCCTTGCTTTTAGCTGTGATAGTCTGGCTTCCTAGCTTTGCACCCTAAGCTACAACTCACCTGCGAAGTGCATGAACCCTAGAATAAAACCCTGAAACCCGAAACCCCTAAACCCCAAGCCCTTGAACCCTAAACCAAAGAGACCCTAAATCCAAGCCCCTAAGCCCTAAACCCCAAGACCCTAAACAAGAGGCCCCAATGCCACAATGCACTTGGAAAAAACAAAAACCTAGTAGTAGAGTAGGTAACCTTTAACCTTTGTTGGGTAGTATCGTCCCTATACACTCCCGATATAGCCAAAAAGGTTAACCTTTAGTTCCCCATGATACCCGACAGGTCGATAGATCGCCTAAACCCTAAACCCCAATCCCAAAACCCTAAACCCTAAGAACCCTGAACCCAAAATCCTGAATCCCTATAGATAAACCTCCTAAACCCCGAACTCTAAACCCTAAAGTCGATTCCCTAAACCCTAAACCCTGAATCCCTATAGACCCCTTATAGATCCCGAAAGATCCCTTTAAGGGGCCCCATTACAAGACCCCAAGACTTCAGAGTCTCCAGGAGCTTCGCGCTGCAATGGACATCCTTGCAGAAGGCAAAGCCGAATCTCGGTGCCTTTTTTTTTTTTTGGGGGGGGGGGGGGGGGGCTTTTAAGGGTTTAGGGTTTAGGGTGGGCATTTAGGGTTCCTTTAAAAGGATCTAATTATAGGGGTTCCTTTAAACGGATCTATAAGGGTTCCCTTAAAAGGATCTATAAGGGTGCCTTTTTTCAAGGATCTATAGATCCTACAGTGGAAGCCGGAAAGATGGAACATCCTTATACTCGTACCCTTATGGTAAAGTATAGGGAATCCTACCACTAATCATCCTTAGTCCAACTTTCTGGGGTTCACGATAAGAGTTCTTTGAAAAGGATCTATCAGGGTTCCTTTAAAAGGGTGCATAAGGGCTCCCTAAGGGTAGAGGGGCCTAAATAATTGCCTATACTGTTTCGGGCGTTCCCTACTATAACTATCGTATAATGGGCCCCAAGAGCTTATTCTAATTCCTAAGGCCCATGTGGGTGGTTGTCAAAATTATGGTCCCTCTTTGGGTCCTTATTGTAATACGGCACCTAATATTTAGGGTACCCAAAAAGGTACCCTAATTTTGACAACTACCCATGTGGTACATAGATGCCTCCCAGACGGGTTCTATATCATGCGGCTTAGGGTTCCTCAAAGGGTTCGTCAAATAGCTTCTAGACGGGTTCTACAAGGCAGCGTTTAGGGTTTATAAGGGCCCAAAGTTTATGGATTTAGGGGTTTAGGTGTGTAAGGTGTTTGCAGGGAGTTCATGCATTGGTTCTACAGGGTTGGGGTATAGGGATAGGGTAGGCGAGCGGAGACATTAGCCGCTCTTTCTCTAAGCACCTCCGATTGTTATCCTTTCTAATCAAGCAGCTTTCCCGAAACTTCCTGAGGAGTTTTCCAGATGTGTTATCATAGAAGCTACCCTAAACCCTAAACCCTAAACCCTAAACCCTAAACCCTAAACCCTAAACCCTAAACCGTTGTTGTGTGTCTGGGAGTCTTAGACTCGCATACATAGACTCTGAGTGCTGCCCGCACTCAGTAACCGCTGGATAATATTCATAACTAAGATATAACATTGGGACCTTAATAGTGGCCCTATTATAGACTGTTACTGTCTGTAGGGGGGCAGTACCATACATAGACTGGATGTTTTTCTGTTTGGGCAGCAAAGCTCTGCGAGGCGTCGGAACTGCCTGTCTGGTATAGCAGGTGGCTGTTGAAAGAGCGAGGTGGGAGAGCACCCGAAATCCTAGCTGCTACATCCTAAACCCTGCGCTGAATCCTGACGTCCTGAATCTTCGTTCCCGTATCCTAAAGCCTGAATCCTAGATCCGAGTCTCTAGACTTTATAACCCCTGAATCCTAAACGAGATCAGCTCAGGATGCCGCACTTATCGATCGCATTGGTATCGCCAGCGACTCCCGGCAGAAACAGTCTTGCAAGAGGACATCATGTCTCTCGAGATCAACGGCGAACAGTAGAGTGCCCGCAATAGTTAGAATAGTGTGTGGGGGTATATCACACTGCAATCACAAAGGAGCTGTAACGCAACAGTGTTTGTAGTTCTTCCGAGCTTGCATTGGTTCGCACGCTACACCCTGAAGCCCAGTGTGCTTTGAGATGCAGGGCGACAAACACGCTGGACCCTAACTATCCTTAACCCTTTGCCTTAACCGCCATACCCTGATTGGGTGCCGTACGATATGAAGGATCCAACAAAGGACAATAATTCTGACAACTACCCATATGAACCCTAACTCCCAAACCCTGAACCCTACTAGCCTCAGAGCCGTGAGCCCTAAAGTTTACAGCCAGAAAGTTGGAATATGATTATCCTAAACCCTTTATGGTAAATTATAAGGTATCCTACCCTGAAACCATATTCCAACTTTCTGGAGTTCCCTTTAAACTAAAGCCTGAAGCCGAGCCCAGGACATCATCTATAGCAACATTGACAGCCGAATCGACCTAGAAATGGTTGAGATGGAGGATGCTGAGACCGTTCGGAAGGACATTGGGGGACTGGCCTTATGACAGAATTTGTGGTTCGTCTTATGGTTTGGCGTCTCGGGAGCATCCTGCTACAGTATGCGAGGCCGTTATTGAGATCCATTTTGTTCCTGAAGTTTTCATAACTGTGTTAAATCCCCATCATCAACCTTCATCAAACCCTTGCAGAGTTCTGATTAAGGACACCTTTTCCCCTTATGTCCTCCGGAATTGTTGTTGTTTGTTGGTTCCAAGTTCCATGTTGTCCTGAACGATGCAGACCCTGAAGACAAAGCCCAGCCCCCAAAGCCCCCGAAGCAACATAGTAAAGCTCCCAGCCACAATCCCTAAAACCCGCAGGACATCATGGAGTTAGCAGCCGACTTGGACACGGTCAGGGCGATCCTCAGTGGAATTCTACATGGGCTGTTGGAAGTTTTGACTAGGTTCCTGAATAGTAGCCTTTTGCCCTTTGTATTTTAAGGTCCCCTTATTAAACACGAAGAGTAGGATAAAGGGTGCTCTTATTATAAAGGGGCTACTCAGGAACCTAGTTGAACACTTCCCGTTCTCTTCAACAGGGGTCCTAGAAGCGGCTCTTCGAAGGGTCTGGGGTCCCTAAACCCTA